GGGGTGGATGAATCAGTTTGTGCCACATAGGCAACAAAGAGATTCTGATGGTCAGTCTGTTTAGACAGRCTGTAAAAYTWTTTTGCCTTCAGGCAATAGCARCTTGTCTTCGGGTGATAGTCTGTTGCTAAGACACAAGATCTAAGCTCACCCTGTTCAGTTTTTAACTGAATACTGGGCACAACCCAGTCAATGCATGGATTAGTTGCCCTTAACCATTTCAGGCTCAAAACCAGATCAAAAGGCAAGTGTGGAAACACATAGAAGTTCAGACTATGTCTGATTTCTCCTTTGGCGTCAAAGGCGACTGGCACACCTTTGACAACTTGTTGGACTGTGACAGACTGGGCATTCCCAACCTTTATGCATAAGGGATGCTCAAGGTCTGAGACCTTGAGTCCCAAGTGGAGTTTCTGTACCCCTGTAGGGGAGATGAAATTTCGTGTAGCACCACAGTCTAGCAGTGCCTTGATCCGGGTTCTGTTAATCAGAGGTTTGAGAAAGATCAGATCTGACTTCACTTTTCTTTTCTCCTTCAGTTGGAGATGAAGGGAGCAAAGCTGATCAGTCTCTTCCTCAGACATGGGCTCATCCAAAAAAGGCTCAGTGTACACATACAAAGAGTCAGTTGCAGCCTCAACACAATCAGGCTCAGAGACTGATTCACCTTCAAAAGTGGGTGAATGCAGTTCAGCAGGGGTGGCTGCTACCTCTGCTGGCCTGTTCAGTTTTTTGAACTGTTAGTGCCCCAAGTGGGGCAGTCCTTCACGAAGTGCTTCTTAGCACATCTGAGGCAAACTCCCTGATCCTTTCTTTTCTACCATGTCCCCTCAGCAATCTTGAGATCTCTCCAGGGGAAAGTGGCAGGATCCATTGGATTAGCTAGACAGGTGGCACCCTTTGGAAGATTGGGTACCTGCGGGCCACCTGGGCGTTTGCCTGAACCCTTAGGATTGGAGGGCCTTTGGGGCTGAAACTGACTTTTGCCTTTCATCAGGCTCAGCAGAGTCTGACCCAACAACAGGGCAGCCTGATCTGGTGTGGCTCCTGCATCTAGACCAGCTGAGGGAACAAATCCTCCCTGGTCAGAGCCTGCAGAGTCATCATCAGATCCTGCAGCATACAATCCTCCCTTTCCCTTTCTCCTGTTCTGGGAAGAGGAGGTGCTTCCCTTTTGGGAAGAGGTCTGGARATGGAGTGTGGCCTCCATGTCYAGCGCTGCCCTGCCAAAAGAMCTCCAGTCTTTGTGGCCTRCASTAAACAGGGCCTTGGCATATGTCTCTGGAGCAGCCCTGACAAACCATGTCAACTTATYCTGCTCAKACATTTCCAAACCAGGTGTGGAGGTTAGTTTCTCCCACTCTGCATAGAGCTTGGAGAGTGATCCAYGCCACTTACTTTGGCCTAGTCTCACAAGCTCATCATTTGCTTTGCGGGCCTTTTCCTTATCTGCAAACCTGGTTTCCAGACCCTGAAAGATGACATCCAGCCCAATGACAGCAATCCAATCATCCAGCTGCTTCTGAGCCTTGCTGGCCTCCGAAGTTGCCCATTTTAGTGCGGCCCCTGCCAGGAGGGCCCCCGTGGCACRTAYCTTGTCCGCCTCTGGACAGGTATAGCCCTTKAGGTAAGACCTCATCTGGGCTATCCAGTCTGAGACGTCCACTTTGGGGTCTTCCCCARTGAACTTCTCAGGCCGGGCCWTCTTGGGAAATCGCARTTCCGTCTRCACAGTGCTGGAACTCAGTCCCCSTGTGGGTACAGTCCCRGAGACCTGCGCCACCTTCTCCTTTGGAGGAGGCAGGGGAGGCTTGGGAGAGCCAGGGCGGGATGATTGTGGGGTGGATGTCGGAGGAGGGCTAAGAGGCGGAGGSACATTAGAGCGAGGAGARGGTASAGGAGTARGAGGGAAATSCCGAAAGAACGCTGCTGACAGCTTTCCCAGCTTGYTGTSAATAGATGACAGCTGGGACTCAACTGCTGAGATCCGTTCATCCCAGGATGTGAAAACATCCYGGTTGTGTGCGGATTCCAGSAGTACYARTTCTGCAAGATTYYGCGTGACATCAGCCACGCGGGCGTCAGCAGGGACCTTGGCAAYAGTGTCCAGCARCTCAGATCTTCTGGTTGCTGCTTCCYCTCKCTTAAMAGCCTCTGCCTTCTCCCTCTTTAATCTCTCTACTTCCCGAGCTGCATCTGCARCAGCTTTTTCYKCTGCTTTCAGGGCCGCGTCCACGAGGTCTTCCTCAGTCAGGGGTTTCTGTTCTTYCCCTTTTGGCTCAGACTTCGCAGACGTCTCCCCGCCTTCAGCAGACCCCTTAGCCTTGTCCTCTATGGCCATGATGGTCTTTTCAAATTTTATTTGTCAAATAAAATAAAATAAAATTCTGATTACTGTTCACACACAGAACACGAGTAAAAGGAATTTAACTGTGCGGCTTAGTAAAAGGTTATAAAAGGTTTGGGATTTACGGCAGGTAGTGGTAAATGTCACAAATCAGTCTGGGAGGTTACAGGCTCAGACCAACGGCCGAAACCTTCAACAGAATGGCCATGTCTGAGCATRCAACCCAATCAACAAGTCAATGATGTTTGTGACCAGGCTCGTTGCAGAGCCTTCCCAAAACAGTTAGCATTCTTCAGCAAGCGGGAGAGATACTTTCCAATGCAATAAAAAAAAAAGAGACCGGAGCGGGTTTCAATTATCGCCGTGCAGTCTGCAAAACTTGTCAATTCTAATCGAAATAGGAATCTGTCATTTCACTGACGTTCTGGCCTCTAGTACGGATAGGCAGTAATCAATACTGACTAACCGATTTCTGACCGCCAGCTAACAGGACTGACCGACAAACCGACAATCGATTTCGGTTGCCACTCCTAGAACCCGGTAGGCAATCAAAGCAGATCAGGGTCAGTGAAATGCAATTCCATTTTATTTTTTTTCAATTAGAATAGGTCCAGAGAGGGGTCAGGAACAAACAAAATAGTAACTGACGACCTATCTGACCAAGACTGCACACAGACTGACAACTGGCAGACACTGACGGTTACTGACAGGGTCTGACTTCAAGTCACACGATCTTCGGAACGAACTCACTCGAGCAAAACTTGATTGAAGATCTCCTGTTGGTCAGTGGTCCAGCCACTGTCGCAGAATATCGTGATTGAAGATCTCCGGTTGGTCAGTGGTCCAGCCACTGTCGCAGAATATCGTCAACCAGTTCTGACGTCAACGTCAGAGCTTCAGCGAAGGTTCCCACAGTCTTCCAATCAAGTAACTCGTCGAAGTAACCTCAGCAGCGGCCCAGAAGGAAGCCCCGTGTCGTCTGCGGGCGTGGTCTGCGACTTGAGGGTCACCCGACACTCAGGCCCACCGGACCACTTAGGGTTGACGCAGCGGTCAACTCTGCTCTCGCCAGTTGAAACTTCCTGGGAACGTTCCACC